GAACTTGACATCTTTTTAATAATCTGATTATTCTTCCTGGAGTTTTGCAATCTACTTTTTCTTTTTATCGACTTTACTGAAAATCTCAACAAAAATCGAAACGTTTGATATATATTAAGTTTCAAAATAAATCAAATACAGATCTTGCATATAACTCGTATGGTCTTTTTTAATTCATTACATACATACATATATATATATATGTATATATTATATATAATTATATCTTATTCTTACAGATAAAGAACACGAAACAAATCTATACCACGAAATACGAAATGATATATATACTACGAAATACGAAACTATATCTATACTAAATTCGTATAAGTCGTATCTAATCTAAAATAATATACACATAGATATACTAAAGTATATCTATACTAAAATAACATGTTATTGCTATGACTTTTAACTTATCATTGTGTTACATGTAACCATTAACCTTTAGAAGACCGGCACTTTTCCTTTAAAATGTTGACTTTTTTTAATGAAAAATGTATACATATATAGAATTGACTTGTAGCGCAAAGTTTCCGAGTTTGTTGCTGACCATTAATAGTGATCAGAGCGATCCTTAACGGTATGGCCAATGTTGAAAAATTTTTTAGTGGTTCTAAAGGTTTTTAATATCGCTAATTACGATTCTAATGTCATATTATTAAAATTTTACACAGAAACAGTGTTGTCAACGTAAATGAATCTGAATGAGTAACAGCAACGTAAAAAGTTATATAGCTACTTTTTTGTTTTATAATTTTTTTGTTATTTTTGTAATTTTTACTTTTTTATAGTTTAGTTTTGCATTTTTTAATTTTTTTTAATTTTTTGATTTTGCTATTTATTGTTTTGGAATGGAAAAATAAAATTATAAATGAATTTATATTTTGTGCATAGAAATTTACGGTAATGTTTCTTTTATGTAAAAATTTTCCAAAACAAGGTGTTACGCATAATGCGGTACTACAAATAGAACATACATACCGAGTTCGACGTCTATATCATTTGATGTAATAAACACAAATGACATCTTTAACTTTTAACAAATACACATATAAATACATGCTTCTCAAGCACATTAATATTTATACATCTATTATTTTTATATGCATATTAAACAGTTACCTATCTCTTTGGCCACTATAGTGGCCACTGCGGTCCTTTAAAGGTTAAAGCGTGATTTCATTATCTAGCGTTGTCGCAAATGCAATCAGTATTGTAAATTTGTCTGTACAAAGTAGCTTTAAGATAAAATAAGGAAAAAAATTGTATAAAATGACCAAATGCGATATCTGTGTGTGACAAACAAAATGTGCAATAAAGATACTTGCTTTTATAATAAAAGATACATAGTGATCTTATTTTGTAGATGTCTCACATCTTTCATAAAAATCAATAACGCATGTCCGTTTAGCACGTTTTATATGGAAGAATATCTTAATTGTAAAATATTTTTGTCTGAGATTTTGTGCTTCAAATTTCATCAAAAGTAAATATTTAGATGCCATAACACAAATTCTATTGTTTTGTAAGTAATGAGATAAATTTTCACAAAGCATGCTTGTAATTGTTACTTATTTCAAGGAACGACAACACAGTTTGCGAATGTAATATATTAAATTCTATTACTTCAAAGATTAACATTTTAGATTAACATTTTAGATATCAAATAATGAAATTCACTTTGCACATCGGTTTGTGTGATTTCTCATTATTAAATGATGCACTCGCTTATTTTTATTATAAGTACCTGCAGATTTTTCAAGGGGTGGAAAATCGTCGGGCTCATAATCCTTCCCCAGGTTCCCCGGGCTTGCGCTATCGAATGCCGGCGCGGAGCGCGCGAGGGTATAAAATCAGTCACTTGTTGAACAGTGCGCATTACGTCGATTCGCTTCCGCTGCTTGAAGATATATCCTGCTCGCAGACGAAAAAGAGAGAGACGGAACATCTGACAGCTGACCAGAATTTCCTGTGTTTGTGCTACGGACGTCCCTAATTTGTCGTGAGTGATTTTTTAATTACAGGTCAGCTGATTATATCCTTATAATTTCACAACTAACATTATTAAAATAAAACGTTAACATTAAATACGCCACTGCGATTATCGTAAAAAGAAAAATATTATTTGAATAAAACAATTCTAAGACGCTTCAATCTCTTTGATATTTTGGATATTTGTTCACAAGTAATAAAGAATGGAAATTAATATAATGTGTTATTTTTTTGTGAGAAATATAATAAAACTATAAAAACATATGTTAAAACAAATGACTGCAAAAACAGATGATTGTGTTTCAAACCGTTGGCATCGAACTGTCATATTTTTTTGATTTTTTTAAACCAACAAAATTTGACATTCTATGATGTTAAATAGTTAATAACTCGACATGTATTTTAACTTTTTTATTGTTTATCACAAACAAGATTTCTTCGAGACATTAATCATTAGAAGCTTGACATTATATGCAGAATATTACTATTAACTTTGAGAGCAACAACGTAATTTTTGCAATTATCTATTTTGGAAAGAATGTCAATTTCTTACTTGCGGCTTCGATATTGAAGAAGAAAAGAAAATTACTTTCGAAATGTTTAATATTTGAATATTTATTTAACTCTATAATACTTCTATAAGTTATATATATATAATAGTTTGATAATTTTAAAATAAAAATTTTGGATTAGTTAATGTAGACAAAATTTTATCATATTAGCAATATCTAATAAATCGTGTTAAATTGGTAAAAGACATTTGCCTGTAATTTTGTGGAATCTTCAATATAACATAAAAATAACACAACGACAAATTTGCATCGATATATTACAACAGATATGTAAATTCAAAAAATTCAAAGCAATTATTTCATTTTTTATTTAAATAGATGATAACTCAATCGCGAAATAGACATAAAATTATTATTAATACGACTCAATATTATTTAACAAGTATATTTGTTGTTACATTAACAACTACTTTGTGTAGCATTAAGGCTTGATGAAGTCAAAATATGATCAGAAATGAGTAGAAAATGGGTAATATGACAGATAACAGTTCGATTGTTTTATTTGATTGTCGAACGCGAGAATTTTCTTTAGTTTAATTTGAGATTTTTTAGTTTTATTTGTGCTACTTTCGTATGGATTGTGTAAAATATTATCTGAAAGTTTTATGTCTAAGACCGAATGTTAAAATCAAATGTTCAGGGGGAAAAAATTCGAGCAAGATTTACATTGAAATTGTGCTCTGTGGCATTTCGAATGTTCAAGACATATAATTGATAGAAAAAGATGTTATTAATTCATATTTACATTTATAATTCGAACGCGCGATTTGATATAAACTCCGATTAATGAATAATCACGGGATTTGATGGCGCAGCGGATCTAACTGGTATTTACCGCATTTTCTTTCTTGAATCGCGAATCACTGAAGGGAGAATCCACGCGGCTGGCCGTCGGCGTAGCAAAACGCCGCGCGCCGACGGTGAAAGCTACGGGAAATTACAAAAGTCGGAAGCGGAAACGGAGGAAGGACGAGCTTTTAATATCGCCGGGCGTCATCCTGGCTTCAGATTCTCGCTGCCGCCTGCGATCGGTTCCATTTTCCGTCCCGCGCGCTCGTCGCCTCGCGATTCTTTCTGCATCCTCGCGAGAATCGTCCCGTTGCGCTTCCGATCTATCCGCAGATGAAAAAAATCACCATACTTAAATTTTCGATCTTGTTGTGCGCTGAATTGATTGTCAAGCGAGATAACAAGAAGTAATTCTGCATACAACATCTTTTGTACTTAAATAGATGTACATTTTTTCTCGTAAATGTCATCATAGAAATAAAATGAGAAATTCTCTCCAAAATATCAAAGTTTATTCGCACTATTCACGAAATCTATCTTTTAACCGAGACGCGTATAAACCAACTTATAATCGTATGCATTTCAATATTTTTAACAATATAACTTTTTTGCGATTTGATATCTTAACATTTACCATATGAGTATATACAAGTTTAATCACAATTTTGGTGGCCAGCGAATATATTTAATAACGCGCGCGATATAATTTACAATTATATATTATATTATTTTAAATTGTTGTGTTTATATTGAAATACACGTAAAATAAAGTGATATTAAATTTTTGTTACTCCGGCGATCGGTGTTAACAACGATAAGACGCAAAATTAATTAAAATTAACAAATAACTCAATTTTTTTTAATATAAAAAAAGAAATATATAGAATATCTTGATAAATGTGAAATGTCGTCGCGCGGTCGTATTATTTATCATTCAACGTCTCCGTTTGAAATAACATTTGTTATTTCTGTTCGAATCTAACATTTCGATTGATGTACTTATGTTGCAATGAATAACGGCGCGAATAAAAGCAAGGTACAAAGCGGATATCAGCGATGGCGAAGAGTGGGATATTTTATGGTTTTTAAAACGTAATTGAAACGTAACTACTTGCGAACTTGATTTATGTGTAATTACAGATTCAGAATAATTGACACGCAAAGAAAATCCAAGGTTTGACGAATCTTAGAAGGTTAGAACGAATCACGAGAGATTGAAATTCTACTTAAAAAAAAAACAAAAAACAAAAAACAATTGTACTGAAATATGACAAAACAATTGCTAATCTTTCTATTATCTTATCCGAGTTCTCTCAGCATCAATGCTGTACTGTAAGAGTGAAAACGCGTCACAACTGTCAGCGAAGACCCGATGATGATCTAGTTCTAGGCCGTGACAAGATCCTGAGAAGCTCGACGGCGTGTGACGCCAGAGCGATCGATGATGAATCCGTAGAAATTAAACCGACAAACTCGCGTCGCGAATTTTCACGCTAGATCAACATCGTTCTCTCGGTAATCGCGCGTCGATGTCGCACATGTTGGACGCATAGTTCGCGAGTAAATTGCTGATTGTTCCCGAGTAAANAAAAAAAAAAAAAAAAAAAAAAAACAATCATTTGTACATACAGTTTTATGTTATTCCGTGTTTGCGAGAACGTGCGACGAGTCAAAATCATCGAGTGCGGTGATTTGAGTTGACAAGAATTATTCATCACACGATACTGACTGAGGCACAAATTAACAGTGTTGAATAATTAAATTTGTTACCTGCGAAAGGAAAAATGATACAATTTACAATCGCTTTCAAAGTATAAATTATCTGTTTTTCACATATACACAGTGTTGTAAAAACAATTTTGCACAGAGTTGCAGGTAAATTATCAAAGTACAATTATTAATACATTAACATTTCTCCGAGAAAATGTCATCACTTGGCATTTAGTGATTGTATGATTGTTTCTGGTTAGAGCAGTCTTTTGTTTGCGAATCGCTAATGTCGATTCGTTTTGATATTAAAACGTTTTATTAACTTCTCTTTCTTTTCTCTTTCTCTCTCTTTTTCTTGAATAAAAAAAAAAAAAATTATTTTAAGAAGTCAATATTTTTGATTATTATCTGTCTGCTGTAGAAAGTGATATTTAATAATTTTTTAAAATTCTTCTAAAAACACAGTAGTCTCCGCTTATAAGTCAGTCGACGGAGGTGTAGGAGAAAATAATGGTCAGTTTTTCGATGCTAATCGTGCGTTGTAACGTGGACGGAAAAAACTATCCTATAATGTTGGTAAAAATATATATAGTGGAGAAGTAATTCTTACAGGCACAATTTGCAAGCGAAGACTATAGTGTAAATTTTTTACTGTCATGTTGCAGACAAGATGAATCTAGAAGAGTATCGCAAACATGGTAAGCAAAAAATAATAATCATTTTAATGTTAGAATATATTATGAATTTTAACACACACGCGTGTCATTCAGGTTTATATACGTCAACGCATAATTATTTCGCAAAAAAAAAAAAAATAATTAGAGTTTATCAAAATTGTGTTTTATTATTATATGTAAAAGAACGATAAAGAAAATGTGTGTGATAAGATAATGTTTTAACATAAATCTTACGACCTGAAAAGGAAATGTGTTTCACGATACTATCAATATGTGAATCAGTATAAATCTGAATCTCTCGGTGACACGTTAGAATCTAGCGCGACAAGCAAATCCAAGTCATTCTGGGGCAATGATCGCGCACGGCTCTGAAACGGCGTCAATAAACAGAGATCACCGATAGAATTGGTAGAGACTTTACAGGTGCGATATTGTTTCCGATACGGCTTCATGACTTTACGATCTAAATCTTCCGTTTCGAAATTAGGCTTGGCTTGAATTTGCTGGTCACTCGCGATTTCATTCCTCGCAGGCGCTCGTTCGTCTGCGCGCACCTCGATAAATTAAAGCTGATAATACGCAGCACTTTTCACAATGGGTCAACAAGATTATTCATTGATTTAGAATCAAGTGATTATAATAACAATAAATATATATTTTCTTCGTTACAAAATAAAAATTCGTGAGAAAATTTTTGATTGAACACTTTTGTTCTGATTCGATAAAATAAAAATATATATGTTTTCTCTTCCAATAATGCGATTTGTAATTGGGACATCAAGCACCTCTCAGGAAAGATAAAGTTTTCTACACAAAGTCACACACAAATAAAGTCACGTTGTGTGAAATACAATGTAAAATCCTAGAAAAATATCGTTTCTGGTGTGAACTAGCTCGTCGAGGAGTTTCTTTTGTTTCAATTTAATTGCTTCTGGTCGCCATCACAACAAATGTGTTAAATTTAAGCAAAGAGGAGGATTCGTTAATGTATTGTCTGTGCTGTTTACTTGCGTCATCGTCTTCGAACATGTTTCTCCGTTTTTTGTTTTAGTTTATTTCGAAACATCTCGATATCAAACAAACAAATTCTTAATAGATTAAGACCGAAAACAAAAATATTTTGCACAATTATTGAATTAATTCCCACAGTTATTTATACAATATATATATATTATTATAATTAGTACTTCAAACTTTTACGATAACAATTTTTCACTATCGCGATATAATTAGTTTTTTTATTCTTATAAGATATGTCAATCTTAATCTACTGAAAATTCGATTATTTGATATCGAGATGCACTTATCAAAATAAATTAAAAACGAGAAACGGAGGGTAACATGCTCGAAGATATTCTTATAGAATATAAGAATAAGCAATTAATTGTATATTATATTCTACGAGAATGAAATGTCAGCTCTAATAACCGGTTTTTTGTTTTTTAATCTTTCTTACAATTATTGTGAATCAATATATAATAATTTGTAACACAACAATATTATCTGTGAACATTAAGTAATCAGAGAGATAATCGTAATTACTTAAAAATGATGCAGGCAAAGACATGGTTGATTATATCGCCGACTACCTAACGAATATCCGATCACGGCGTGTTTTCCCCTCGGTGAGCCCGGGATTTTTAAGACACTTGCTGCCGTCTTCGGCTCCGGAAGACGGCGAGCCTTGGGAAAACATATTCGGCGACATAGAAAAATGCATTATGCCGGGCTTGACGCACTGGCAGAGTCCGTATATGCACGCTTATTTCCCGGCTCTGAATTCACCCGCCAGTCTATTGGGCGATATGCTAGCCGACGCGGTAAACTGTCTGGGTTTCACGTGGGTAAGCACGCGAAAACAATTTTATATATATAATTTTATTTTGTGGAGGTTAATAAAAAGTTTTATGCGGAGTATGCGACCTATTGTTTGCACAGGCTTCTAGTCCGGCGTGCACGGAATTGGAAACAATCGTCACGAATTGGTTAGGAGAAATGATAGGTTTGCCTGAAGATTTTCTCCACCGACCGGGTCACACCGGCGGCGGGGTTTTACAAACAACGGCATCGGAAGCGACTTTAATCTGCATGTTGGCGGCTCGAACGAGAGCCCTTGTGGAACATCACGAAAAGTATCCGAACTCATCAGCGGCCGAAATCCACAGTCGTTTAATCGCATATTGTTCCGATCAAGTACGTATAAACAAATTGTTTTTGATTGTTATATAAACCCTCAGCTTTTTAGCGCAAAATAAATCTTGAAAAAAAATGTAGAAGAAATGTTAAAAAATTAAAACCGCATGACGCGGTTTTACTTAAAAGCAAAACAGCTGAGAACAATTGCGAGGAAGTGGAGATAAAAAGTAATAAGTAGTAATGGCAATGAGAAGAGTAAATATTGTTGCTTATTACGGCGAATGGAAATCTCGAGGCGTTCCTTTGAGAGCTTTCTAACATGTAGTCGGACACAAAGCGAATGAATAAGAACGCACATATATTATTTTCACTCAGGGGATAGCAAAATATACAAGCTTGGTTATTACATTTACTGTGTCATTTATTGTTACAGGCACACTCAAGCGTACAAAAAGCCGGACTAATAACTATGACTAAAATGAGATACGTCGCATCGGACAACAATTTCAAGATGAAAGAAGACGAATTGTATGACGCGATGCAGAGCGATATTAAAGAAGGATTGATCCCATTTTACGTGAGTTTTATTTCAAAAAAATATCCACTATAAATAATAAAAAAAAAATTAATGTTAAATAATAAGGATGTAAGATAAACGGAAACGCGTTTTATCGCAAAAATTTTTCAGTCAATATTTAAAAGCGTAAATAATCAAATTGATTATTAATTTGTTATCTTGAGATATTCTTTGACTCTCCGGATCAGTAACGATTGAGTCGAACTTTGCATCGTAAAACGCATCGTAACCTAGTGGTCCAAATACACGTGTAGTAGAGTGACCGCCCAGCGCTCCCCAATTATAGACGTATCTTCTGCAAGTAGTAACAGACGAGATTAGTTCAACGAACCAAAGTCGGATCTACGTCGCGCTTATTAGTCCCACAGGAGCCTTCTAGTCCGATTTAAGTCCCGCGGATGCGCGTTTCGCAAGGAAAAATATTTACTATAAATATCGAGACTTTTTTTGCGAAGAATAATGCAATATTTTTCTTGAATTTGTTTTGCCAATTATATTATGTCTTCTGAAATGATAATTCCGGTATATAATTGCGATATATGAACTTAATTTTACTGATCTCTTCTGCCTTGCAATACTTTTTTCTGAAAAGAAAGAAAACTAATTAAATTATTTTTCAACAATTTAATATGCAATTTAAACGCAACAATTTATGCGTAGGTGTGCGCAACGCTTGGTACTACAGGTGCTTGCGCGTTTGATAATTTGGCAAAATTGGGACCAATATGTGAGTATTAAATTAACGCGAAATGTCATAATGATATATCAATTGCTCTATTGTTTCTCCCGCGTGGAGAACGTGTGAACCTTTTAAATCATTATTATTTTTAATACTGTAGGTCAACAATTCAACGTATGGTTACATATTGACGCGGCCTATGCTGGAAGTGCTTTCGTGTGTCCCGAATTTCGATGTTGGCTCGAAGGAGTCGAATTCGCTGATTCCTTTGCTTTCAATCCGAGCAAATGGCTCATGGTTCATTTCGATTGCACGGCTATGTGGTACAAATAATATTATAATCAAAATCATTTTTTTGTGAATTAGTATGCAGATAAATGTTCATATTCTTGCAATGTTTAATATAAAATCAGATAGTATTAGAATATTCTCTCGAATATACTGTGAAAAAAATTATGTAGATATGTATAAATTGCCAAAGAGATCAGACATCATAAATTGCCGCTTGCTTACAGGGTCAAAAATAGTCAAGATTTACATAAGACCTTCAATGTGGAACCATTGTATTTGAAACATGAAAATTCAGGTATTTACATAATTTTGTGGATTTTCACAGTTTTACAAATATATGTCATTAATTAACTAACAGTAAAAACAAAGTCTAAAATAAACATTTCGACAGGTCTCGCTATTGACTACATGGTAAGTAATGAAATATTTTTATATGTAATCTTTCAGAAAAGTTGTTACAATCAAAACTAATATTTATAAATCGTCACTCCCTACGTATAACACCAAAACGCAAATTTTGGAGAAAAGCAGTTTAAGGATTTAAAACTTCATATGTTTCCCTATAGTTAAAGAATTCTTTTGGTTTCAAATTTTTATTTTACTTATAAAAATTTTTGTTTAATATTTGGTGACCATAAAGAACATGACACTTTGTAAGTGTTATTATGCAATAAACAAAAAATTTCTTATGTAACACTTATGTATTTTTACGTAAAGAGTGACAAAATATACATATATTCATAAAGCAAACAATACTTAAAATAATTCGACTTATAATTTTAAGTACTGCGAGTATTCCAGATCTATTCGACTATAATTCAAAATTTCGAATTTTTATTTTAATAAATTTTTATACACACAGTGCTTATTGTGATCGGAAGTGTAGACGAAAGTAACATTATTTTCCGCTTTCCGATCGCGAAGATTTAAATATAGATTTAAACTCTGCAAAACAAACGATAAAGTTAATGTAATAATTACAGCACTGGCAGATTCCTCTCTCCAAAAGATTCAGGGCTCTAAAATTATGGTGCGTAATCAGAAATTACGGAATTAACGGCTTACAAAATCATATACGAGAGGTAAACAACAAGACAATGTTAATAACCTGAAATTTTCGACAATTAAATGTTTCTTAAAATAAAGATTATACTAAAATGTATGAAACACACATATGTTTTTTTTTTTTTTACACTGACAGGGCGTGAGATTAGCAAAAAAGTTCGAAGCCTTGGTGATGGCTGACAATCGCTTCGAAATACCAGCTCCGAGACATCTCGGACTGGTGGTTTTCCGTCTTTGCGGCGAAAATGTTTTGACCGAACGATTGTTGCAAAAAATAAACATACGAGGTCGCTTACATTGCGTACCGGCAGCTTTACATGAAAAATACGTCATTAGATTTACAGTCACTTCGCCATAGTAAGTTTATATACAATTGTTTATCACTACACATATATTGACAAAGCTTTAGATATTAAAATTTTCTACAAAATTTTTTGTTTTTTGTTTAGTACGACAAATAATGACATTTTAAGAGATTGGTCGGAAATACGAAATATCGCAACCGAGGTTTTGCACGAAGCGCAACAACCACCACGTGCTAAAGTTCCTCTCGGAGGTAACAAGCCGCCGGAACTTAGACAGCTTCAAACAATTTCAGACGGCAATAATAATTTATAATCTATAAAAAGAATTTCGCGTTATTTTTTTGATGGACACACATTAATAATACGTTTGATACGTGAAATACACGCGTGACAAGAAAGTATTGAATTGCATCAAGTTCACACACGATAAAATGTAAAAATAAAATCGCACAAAATAAAGGAGAATAATAATATATTTTAATTATTTCATAAATACGTATAACATATAAATATATATGTATGTATTTATTATAATTTAAGCAAACATTCTTGTCACGTGTGCAAAAAATATATGTACACATATATTTCGTACAGTAAAAGTTTTATTTCTTACACTTTTTAATTGATGTACCAAAGGACGTTAATTATTATTATTTCTTCAGTTTCATTCTCTTAAAAATATTATATTTTAAGTTTGATAAGTTAAATTACGTTTGTTACTTTAACTTTCTCTTTTTTTTTTCAAGTTGTGTACTGAAAAAGAAAATAATGTGTTATTACGAATAAATAATTTTATTATTTACACATTGTTTTTAGTTTTTCTTACGACATCGCCCACTCAAAAACTCACATTATACATTACACTATTCAGATGTAAGTTAACAAACGGTTTTCTCGCGTCATCAAATCGAGTACGTTGTGATCTCTCGTTCGTTAACCTGCAATGTTTAAAATAATATTATTATATCACAAAATAATCATAAAAATTAATTGTGATCATGATGATCTGCAGAGACACGTAAAAATGAACATTTTGGAACAAGTCTGATACTAGCTAATTCACCGATCACGCCGAAAATAGTCAACGGCAGTTTCGCAGCAGTGGACGATAAGTTAGAGCTATACATAGGGGATTCAGGTAAACCATGTAATCCAGATAATCAGCGTAAGTTTAAATCATTTAACTTAATAATTATAATAACTATAGTTCGATATATAAGTTTGAAATATTTTAATCACTTCTTGTTGCAATTTTAGCCGTACGACAACGCGTTCGCGGAATTCTACAGGTGACAGGCAAGCAACTGTCTTTGGATTCCTATATGGATCTTTTTCGAGTACGTCTCGTTTTTTTTAATAATAATTTTTCTTTATTTATTTTATCACCAATTAATCGAGTTAGAAATAAAATATTACAATGTGAAATATAAATTATATAAATTATTTTTAGAAGGACGTATACAAGCCTCTCTCGGGAACTTGTTCCGAATTACCGTTAGTGAGAGAAGAAGGCGGTAGAAAAAGTTCCAGTTGTTCTGAAAAATCAAATTCTTCCGAAAATTCTGAAGAATCCTCCGTGCTGCGTAGCGTAACATATACTACGTCGGCAAAAGATACGGAAGACGATACTCAAGGTACGTACGCGCACATATATTTTGGTGTTTGAAAATAAATTTTTTATGCGGTATACGATCGTATTATAGATACTGCTAATGAAGAAATCAAGTCGAGATATAGCGAAGATTCTGAATGGCTTATAAGCCCGACTTTTTCGACTGATTCAGAGGTGTTTGATGTATCGTCATTTTCCTCAAATGTTGCGTATATTTCGGGAAAAATGACCAGTCTGTCCTGTAGCTCTGTCGATTGCAATAACGACAATTCAGTCACAACGAACGATCAGCAATCCGCTTTAGGAAACGAAATGGAAAACAAAAAACGCGAGTGGAAGCTTTGCGAAAAATGTGGGCACATTTACAATGCTTAATTTATAACGTATACGTGTCCCTTTATTTTTGTCAACAGTTTGCGTTCGCAACGTGAAAGTATTATTGCAATGTGCCTGCTATTTTAATCTAAAAAATAAAATATATCTTGAAAATAAACAACTTAAAATCAAATAGAATAAGTACATCGATATATAAGAGAACTGGAAAGCAACTTGCAAAATTGAAAAGCAACGATCCGTATCTCGATATAAAAAAAAAAATATATATATAACAATTTTAGGTTACAATAGCAGATGCATCACAATTCGTAGTTGTTGTTATAGTTGTCGATTTATCACATAATATTGAAATTTATAGTTTCTTAGGTTAAAGTTAATCTTTCTATTAACAATAATGTTTGTGTGCTTCTGAAAAAAATTTTAAAAAATTGTTAGAATGTGTAGTAATATAAGAAAGTATATTATAAAATTGATGAAAAACATTTACTTTGTTATCCGTTGAAATCATTAGACTTCTAAAACAGAGATTGTAAACTTCAATATCTATGTGAGCTAATGTTGCTGCTAAAAACAAAGTATAATAGATCAAATTAGAGACGTAGAGCGTGTTACATATTAACAAACAACAATATAAAAAAAATCAATGTGCGCACTTAAAAAATAAATACATGCACAAGATGATAAAATGCTTAGCAGTATGTTACTTGTGACACGTACATATTGTTTCACATCATAATAAACTACGATACATATATATATTTTTATATATATTTTTTAATATATAATATACTATATTTTCATATATATTTTTTTAAAACGTTATCTATAAATTACACATGTTACTTATTCAAAAAAGCTGCAGATAGAAAAATGTTTTTGCAACATAGATTTATTTCATTCTTTTTTAGGTACAAATCAGAAAACTTTCAATTGTTCAATTGTTTTGCTCATACTTTTTTTTTGTTTACAACATTTTATTTCCATAATTACTTTTTCATCATAATTACGTCTTCTCTATCTCATTAATATATCTGTTGAAAAACGTTATATAGCATATAATGACATATCCGAAATGATATATATGCGCTCAACTGATAAATCTAAATTTCGCAAAGTTTTCTTACCTATTATAAAATGCAATCGTGTATGATCGTGTGTAAAATATTGTTATAATATAAATTCGTGAATTTGATGCAGTATTGTATATGTACAATATGTAGCTTTTTGGCAACACGTTTCATTAAGAGAACTTTGAATTTACATATAATTAAAATTAATTTAGCGTTCTAAGTAGCTTATGTTAATAATGGTTAATAATGAAGGCATATATTTTAAAACAGAATAACCATTTTATATGTAGCTGTATGTCATCATCTAACAATTATGTTTAAAGATCGAGTAAAGTTAGATTACAAAATACTATCTCATTGCTCATGTGACGATCAAATTCAGATTACAAATTTGTCAATATGGCATAGAAAAATAATTGCTAAATTATTATAGATAAGTAAGCAAATTACACACATGATATTGCATCTATATCTTCTGTTTATTTACTTGTACATCTATATCTTCTGTTTATTTATTTCAACTTTAACTTTTATTTTTAAATTTTCAAAGTGCTAAATAAACATTCGAGACAAGTATATGTCACTAACTTAAACAATGATAATTTTCTAATATCAGTAATTATACTTTATACTTTTAATTTTTCAAAAAATAATATTATAACGCTTTCAATTTGTTTCAAATTCGCATTCACGATGCAAAAGCAAGCAATGAGACAGTAAAAAGTATTAAATTGCCGCACCTATAAGAATGTATTATTAGATGTAAAAACGCGAAAAACATATATTTTATTGTGAATATATATAGTTTTATGATAAAACTGACAAAGATATCTGCTCTTTCAGTTTCTCACAATTATATTTACAAATTTGCGATATAACACATATATCATAATAATAATTACTGTTAATTAACAACGACAAACATTTATTGTTTTTGTTTAATTATTAATAATAATTATTATTATGGCGCAATATACGTTCTGTCGCAAATTTGCAAGAATATTTGTCGCCGACAAAAGAAAAATGTATGGTCTTAAATGTAAACTGACTTTGAGTAACAACATTCTATAATGTCTTAACTATACATCTGCGATGTACTGAGTGTGTAAAATTAAAATAAAACTTAACATTCTCAATTGTCTTATTCACTAATAATCGTACAATCGCATATGTAAAAACAAAATACAACATTACATACAGCAAGATATGTTTCAAGCTAATATTCTTTAATCGCAGCAAGATATACTGGAAGCTAATTCTTTAACCGTGAAGTCAAGTAAACTTTTTTACTTGAGAAATCATGCTTTTTCAGTTTTTTTATTTTTTTATTTTACAAGCATCATATATATATATATACACATGTATATATGTATATATATGTATATATATAATTTTACGGATATAAAATTAGAAATCAAGAATTCACGAGTTAAAGGATTAATAACATATTCTTTCTTAACATTCACATATATGTATATACTATGGAATGTTTTACTATGCTAAAACAATCCATATCGCAGGTAGGCTTGTTTACTAGCTACGTGGATACTTTTCAGCTGCGAGGCCAGATCTACTACCGATTATATCGGTAAGAATGAACACTCGGTATTATAACATCCCGTGTCTCCGTTGCGATTTAAAATGAAACGAAAAAACATATTTGACTTGCTTTTTTTCAATAAATTTGTTACATACTTCTTTTTTTTAATAGAAATTTTGAGAAAACTTGAAATAAGAGGTTTGTGTGACTCAAGATTTCTTAGAAAACTTTTTCTTGAAATTGATTGATACATGTTTCTTAAACAACACTTCAAAATTAAGACAGAATTAATTAGCTACACCTTTGTTTTTATCTGAGCGATTTCCTCAGTCGATATAAGAACGACTAAAACTCTACAAAACGGAAGAAAATTGTCGATACATCAGAAAGAACAGAGAAACGGGGGGGAGGGGCGCAAAATAGATCTCGCGATGGAAACTTGAACAAAAGTAGCCTCGCAGCCGCGCGTGCGACAATGAACAAATGACGCGACACGAGCCGCATGGCTTGCCAGGAAAACGTCGGGTTGCTCGCGATCAGGCAAGCAAGCACCGAAGCTTATTTGGCAAGAGGCTCTTCTTCGAAAGCCTCTCTGTGAGGACATGCGCGTTCAGCTTCGTCGTGTCAGCTACAAGAATTGTAACGCAAATCGCTGGTCATTATATTCGATGGACGCAACACCATCGAATTCTTATGGCGCGTCAGTGATTTCCAAACTTGATAAATTTTTATTTCAAACCAAGTTGTATATACAAGTAATTGTTTTTTTTTTTTTTTCAATTTCAGTAAATTAAAATCTGAAAAAATTCGCGAACATGTCGCGAAATGTTTAATAGAAATCACAGATGCGTATCTTGAGAGAGTACTACAAGTCAACAACGTAAAACTTAGCATTAGCGTCTGCTGAATGACTGAAAACTTTGCGCAACCAAATTGAGCCGTGCTCGATTTGATTGCCAAGTTTAAGTCTTATTAAAAACTGTGTTTACTACATTGATATGTGACACGAGCGAAGCTGAAGGCCCACGTTGTGCTTTGCTTTTCGTTCTGCGTTGCGTTTTGATAGGGTGGGAGGTATCGTGGATTATTATATAGTTGTATAGTTGTTTATATAATTTTGTTTTGTGTTTGATGTTGTTGTATTGTTTTGTTGCGTTCGGACTAGTTACGGGTGGAAAGGAACAGCAGATCGATGTTTTCGAATGCAAATTTACATCGCGATTGCACAAAAGAAAACAACTTTGAACTTTGACTTTTCAAGATCTTGCAATGATCGCAGAAACATATTTCATGTAGCTTGAAGAATAAGAATAAGAATAAGAAGACAATTTTAAACGCTGTTTGCTTTCGACCAGTGACTGTGGAAGTGGAGTACTTGTTCATACGCAAGAATAATAACGGCAGATACACATGCAGTGTCATGCAAAATGTTACTGTACGGCTGTTTAAGAAAAAGTCGATAACAACATAAGATCCCGATTTATAAAATGCTTGTAAAAAAAAGCAACTTCACACTTAAGAAGATCAATTTAAAAGACTAAAATTATACCATGTATTGGAGTTTGACACTTTGTTTTGAATAAATGTGTTTTATGTTTTATTTTTAATAAAAATATGTATATATATATATATATATATATATATATGTATAAAATATTACTTTTATATCAAACAAACACCATAGATTTTGTTGTGCAAACAAAACATTTTTGTACGATTGAAAACACAATAATTTCACCGTGCAAAATTTGAAAAAAAAAAAAAAAAAAAAAAAAAACGTTACGAAATTTGTGAACACAACTTTTTTGTATTACCGTACAGTTTCGTGACTACAATCCATGCAGCTTCACTTTCGTCTACGTGTACAACTGTGATCATTTCTAAGTGCCTACACAACTTTATCGCTGTATTCTTGAGTATGCGCTCCATTTTCAAAAATTGTAATAAAGTTATTCTAACAAATTTGAAATTTACGAATTCTACAAAAATACGAAGTTCTAAAAGAAGACAACAAGTTCATGATTTTTTAAATCTAAAACATTGAAAACATTTTATACTTTTCTTGTAAGCTAACATCTAATAAAGATTTGATAAGTTTTAAAGAATATTTTCTATAACGATTTCGGAAAACGTGCGCATATAAGGGTACACCTTTCGTGAATGCTTTGATTCGAGAAGAGATCATCCTCGCTGCTCGCTGGCCGCTGCGTCTCGGTGCTGTTGGATATGTGCATGCTCTGCAACCATGCCTTCTAAGGTAGAACGTTTTTGTTTTTATTTTTTTTCTATTAAACTCGCCGTTCTATCGTGGGCTTGACTTCCTCCCGTCCCTTCGAATCTAAAGAGATTTCATTACACTGGCGAATAAACTAGAAATCTACGAGAGAGAATTGAATCGAAGAAGAGTGAAAAGAGTAGAGAGTGTAAAGGTGAAGAATCAGGCTGTGTGAAAAAAAGATTGAAGGTATCCAAAAAAAAAAAAAAAAACAAAAAAAAAGAGAAAGAATTGTGACTGAAATGGAATCAAGGAGGCGTTTTGCTAAATCGATTGAATTGCGCGACGAATGAATGCTTCGATTCGAGAGAGAAAAATATTGTTATCTAGGAAGAATTCTAACCATATATAAAGTATTTCTGCAGTATCGAGTCAAATTCGAATTACTTTTAAAGATCTAAATCGGTTTTTAACGGTTAAATCGGTTTTTAAATATATGTATATATTTTGAATATTTATACAAATAATTTATAGGAATGTTTCGCGACATATTTTTTAAATGTTAATATCACTTTTACAATTGGGTCTTTTGTTCATCTCATTTACTTAATTTGTGCAGCGATATTATTCAAAAATTCGAAAGATTTTAGAAATGCAATGCGTATATCCCATACAAATATTAACTTTTTATCATATAATATGCGATTGTGTGACGCTTCCATTACTCGCGCAATTTTGCTATGCTTCTTAACAATTCGTTCAAAAAAACTCGACTAGTCGCGTCGAACATTGTCGCATCAGAATGAGAGAAACGACATAGTGAGGTGCATTGTCGTGAGAAAAATTTGAAAGAGCTTGAGTATCCACATTGTCCTTTTTCTCGATCATACTATTTGGGATAAACGTATGAATTGTCATCGACGTTCTCAGACGACAGTCAAATACACATGCAACGGTAACACTGAGGAAAGAGTTCAATTTCAACAAATAATCGATAAATTAAAAAAAAATAATAATAATAACAAAATACTTTAGAAACATATTTGTCGAGCAGCGAAAAATTTGTAAACAATGCTGTAAACTTTACTGAAAAACATTGTAAAATTTAGGGAAATAATTTTCTGCAGTAATTTTATTTTATACGTAGACAAACAAAAATAAAAAGCACACATTATTTGAGGATTATTAAGTTACGAATCATGTATGTTGTGTTGTGTGTTATAAATAAAGAAATTACTCAATTCAATTTTCTCACCGGTGCTTTTTATGTTTAGGTACTTAAGATCTTTTTTTTCTTTTCCTTAAAAAAAAAAAAAAAAAACTTCCTTCCTCAGAGTGTATGTCACGAATGCATTGCAACGATGACAGCCGTGCTTGCTCGCAGAACTAAGAAAGTCTGAACTCCCGCCTGGATCGTCGAAGAAATCGATTGGATAATCAAGATAACTTCTACACGAGAAAACGCTTAAGGTACTCTTGATGCTGTCTAAGGCCAGTGATCGGAACGAACGATATGCTCAAATTGGCTAACTTTCGCGTGGTTACAAGACAAAAACGCGGATTTTTTTTTTCATCCATTTCAATATTCGATAAATACTACTACTATCGTTTAATCTTTAGAATAAGTTTTAAGCCACATAAACTAGCTTTGTTTATACTGACGTAATTCAATATCAGTCCTTTTCTAGTTTTCCTTTCAGTTTAATTTTTACTAATCTCTACTTTAAAATTAATTTCAACTGCATTGTAACGCATAATAATATATATATATATATATATATATATATATATATATATATCTTTCTTATAAGAATACGACTCTTACCTGCGCATATTTACTTATTTATGTATATATATATATTTTTACGTACTCTTTTCGATATCAAGCTCATCTCAGCATTTACATTCTCTATTGTGTAATAAATATTGTCTAACAAGATATGCATAACACTTTGATAAAATTTCTCTATCAAATATAATCTTATTTCTATGCGATCTGATAACACGCACTTAGAAGTGAGGCACAAAATCAATGATAATTACATCAATCGATTTTACCGCTTCGATTTTACGTGGGATCTCGTCATCCTTTTGAGCTAATAAATCTGATCTTTTGGGATCAAAGCCAAACACTCGATCGTTCGTTCCGACAAATGGTCGTGTTGACGACACGCTAAGATCTCTATGAAGGATATGATTGGACACCACTGCGATGAGTGGATCGAATTAATTGGTGTTATACGACGTGATCATTGCAACGTTCTACAAAGCAAGCTGAGGCTCCTAAGACGGCCGAGCGCAGAACAAGGATGGTCGACAGGAACAGCAGGAGTACGGGATTCGAGCTCGAGGTCGGGGGTACACGATTGCACATATCCTCCTCACAGAAGCACATGTGACCAGTGCCGGTACTTTCCATCATGCACACGTGGTCCACCATGAATAAGTTTATTTGTAGTTGCGAAGTGCAGGTTCTTCTTACGCTCTCGTACGCTGCAAGCAAACGAAAACGATCAGCAGCAAGTTAATTCCTGCGCACTACAGGATAAAATTTCGCGTAATCCTTAGTAAAACCATTTACTTTTTTTTGAAAAAAAAATAGCGATTTACTCTCTATTTTGCCAAAATATATTTGGGTAATCTGTCTAGTAAATGAACACTTAAGCTACGTATCTGTTAAAATTACTATTCAATAATCGTTATTTAATCCCCTGAATTACTATATTACTGTAAACGAGCTGTTTTATTATTAAGATCAGACATTTTAGCCATTCTAGCAATATTTAATATTTATAGACTTTATTAAAAGTCTGACATAAGATTGAATAAAAACTTGTATATTCTTCCTCGTGAAATATTATAATAGTAGGAAAGTGACCAATTCGAGATTCAATAACCAGATCTTCGGGTCAATAAACTTCTTTATTTTGGTGTAGTTTTAAACAAATGTTTCGACCCTTAATTTAGATTTTTTTCAGTGTACTACATATGACAATATACAAATATATTAAACAGACTAACGCAAGAAGTTAATAACGCATATCCCAAATTACAAGGTTTTTGAAAACTACAACTTACAGGAAGGTTCGTAGGTGTAGGAAGAACTCAGTCCATCAGTCGCGCATCTCCCCGTCAACAACACGCAAAACAAAATCTCGATGATACCGACTCGAAAAACACGCCGAATCACTAACTAGCGCGACGGCCACCGACAGACTGAGCTACATCCTTAACAATGTTACTACTCCGAAATCATTCTCCTACCGACGTCTCAACATATCAAGCGTAAACATCGCAAGAATACCTATGTCGCTTTATACAACTTCAAAAACGGGAAATAAGGTTTTAGTTTATCTGTGTCCGACATAACATTAATTGAATGATCTTGTATTTTGATATGAATCATTTCGGACACGGACTTTTTATAAAATGATTTTTCCAAGTCTAAAATTTTGGTATTTTGCCAATAATTAAATGTATGATCCGTATCGATTCGACGTTGTGTGACGACAGAAGCACTCTCAATACGATGGTGTTAATCCGATCCCTATGCTCCGCAACTCTCATTTTGAGCTTCCTCCTGGTCTGACCCACGTAAGAAGCATCACAATTATTACATCGCAAATAATATACAACATTTTTCCTTTGATTATATTCAATTGGATCTTTAACAGTTTTGATAAATCTATTCAATTTTCTATTCAATATTCAGACTCCTGTATGCTATTAAAGATTCTTCTCCCTTCTTCAGAAACTTGAAAATTGTTTGTGACAAGCCATTTATATAAAGTACTACGAATAATTTTCCCTTTCCGTTACCCGAAATTGTTGGGAATTCGAATTTTTTCTTAACTACATCAAAATAAAGAAGTTTATTGACCCGAAGATCTGGTTATTGCCTCGAATTGGCCACTTCTCTACTATATTAAATAAAAAGTGGCCAAATAACCAATGAACAAACATGAATTTCTAACAATCAATAGATTCTTACAAATCTGTTAGTTGTTATATATTTCATTAAAACAATGTCTAAGCAGTGTAAATATAAAAACAAATTTATCACAGGACTATTAAATGCACTTGAAATATTTAATTGTAGATGTCAAACAAGACTTACTTTGAACTTGTGCAAATAAATCGAATGTAATAACGTGCCGATTATAAATATAAAAGAGAACATCATTTTGCGAGACATCTGTAGATTTTCACTGAAAGTATTGTGTTAATTATTGACGTCAAGAAAGCATGCTAGGTCTTAATTTTTTGTATAATATAAAGCAATGTTCATTCACTAGAAGGTGTTCATTCACTGAATAAGTAACCCTATTACTTTTTTTTTTTATAAAAATATATTTTTAAAATATTGAAAGACTTTATATAAAGATAAACACAGTAATGTGACAAGGCTAATGGGAGCACGAACACTGTTGTTTGTGTGTTGACAATTTATTGAGTAAATATAAAGTGTACAAACGTTTCGACCGGAGATTCGGTCCTTATCAATGTAATTCTAAAATACGCATGATGTAAAATTATAACACGATAAATTGAATTTAAGAAAGTTTTTAAAATTTTGATGTTGTAAATTATACATAACATAATCGTTAAACAATATTGGAATAAAATGTCCTCAAATAAAATCACTGATCACATGTCCACAACTATCTATGTTCTTGACTAACATCAACTTTATTCATTTGACATCTTTTATAATTTGGACATGTGATCAGTGACTTTATTTGAGGGCATTTTATTCCAATTGTTTAACAATTATGTTATGTATAATTTACAACATCAAAATTTTTGTTTAAAAAATTTCTTAAATTCAATTTATCGTTATAGTTTTACATCATGCGTATTTTATAATTACATTGATATGAGCCAAATCCCCGGTCGAAACGTTTGTACACTTTATATTTACTCAATAAATTGTCAACACACAAACAACAGTGTTCGTGCTCCCATTGGCCTTGTCACATTATTGTGTTTATCTTGGATATTGAAGCCTGTGTGTATCTTGAATTTCATCACCTTGCAAACTTTATATAAATTAATAATTTATATAAAGTTTGCATATATTTATTTTGAATAAAAAAATAATGCAACAGCTTACAGAGACTATTATTTTAATGACAAAAAATATTTTTTACATTTTTTGGTAAAAATAAAAAAATGTAGAAAATTAATTTTTATATTTTTTCGTAAAAGGTAAGATAAGACCAATACGAGAAAATTACAAGTTGTTTGTGTATGGAATGTACATTTATTTTGAATACGAAACTAAACGTTTCGATCCTATGTTTCGGATCTTCTTCAGTAGTGACGTGTATGCGCTGCTTAATTTATACACGTCACTACTGAAGAAGATCCGAAACATAGAATCGAAACGTTTGGTTTTTTATTCAAAATAAATCTAATATTTTGTATTAGATTTATTCAAAGTAAATTCCATACAACTTGTAATTTCCTCGTATTGGCCTTATCTCACCTTTTACGGCATTTTCACGAGGACTTCACTTCTCATCTTTTATATTTTTATTTTTTTAAGGTAAATTAACAGTTAAAATAAAATAATTTGGTAAATATTGACATTAACGGTCCACCTTCCGATCAACTTGAGCTTCACATATGTTGTCAAAGACATTGTCCTGAGTAACATGCAAACACTTTTAGCCGTCGCTTGTTTATAAAAAAGTTATAGACAAAAAAAGTTTTATAAATAAATTTTTTTTTCGACATTATGTATATTTTCTTCATGTTATAAGTATGTAGGCAGGGGGGGCTACGCGTAGCCTCTCCCCCTGCTCCCCCCTCGAGAAAAAATAAAAAATATTCAAAAATAAAACATCATAAACAGAAGGTAATATGTACGCAAAACATGATAAGCTTAGGGGGTGCAGAGGAGGGGCGTAGCCCCTCCCTTGCAGGGGGGCGCAGCCCCCCTGCCTACACGCTTACAACATGAAGGAAATGTCTATAATGTCGAAAAAAAATTTATTTATGAAACTGTTTTTCTTTGTAACTTTTTTATGAACAATGAGCGACGGCTAAAACCTTTTGCATGTCACTCAGGACAATGTCCTTGACAACATATGTGAAGCTCAAGTTGATCGGAANGTGGTCCGTTATTGTTAATATTTACTAATTATTTTTATAAATAAAATAAACAAATAAAACTTTTATTTTTTAATTGTAGATCAAATCAATTATGAAAAGTGTTTTTGAACTAACATTAAATCGGTCAATAAGAGCCAACGTTAGATGTCGTGCAAAATGAATATACAAATATATATATACATATACAGTAAAAAAAAAAAATTTAACTTTGTAATTTTAACTTTGTTTGCATATTCCAGAAGGTCCACTCTAAATTTTACTTTAAAATAACTCATTCGTTGTGAGTCACTTATTGACAAACTAGTAAAGTCAAATACTTGACACAATACTTTACATTTATATTTGTTATTTTGACTGTAAGCGTGATGTAAAAATAACATATAAAATAATGAAAACTACACAAAACAGTAGTTACAGTAACTCGTAAGAAATGTTAATAGAACATTTTAGTTTGTACAATGTGGCCACAGATTTTTAAAATTTTTGTAGTATGTTAAATTGACTTTGAGACATCTAGATTAATTGAAATCATTGTGTTAAAAGCACTTAAACAATATTCCATTTTTAAATGATATGCAAAAAATGTTAATTTGTGAAGTTAACATAAATTTAACACGTAAAAAGACTAAAAAAATAATAACATATCAGTATTATGTTAATTTTACATTGAAGTAATAATCAAAACGTCGTAACACAAGAAAAGTTCTACATTTTGACGCGCGATTTTTTACTGTGTATATTTATAGTTTTCAGTGTAAATTATACACATAAATTTTTGAATTAAAATTTCAATTTGTAAGTTCATTTAGGATGCTCGATTTGCATACATGAGAAATGTTCGTTTTTTCTTCTCTCCTATCTAATTTAATAATATTGCGCGAAAAAATATTTATTCCTCGGCCAGGAGTCGAACCTGGAATCTCTCGCTTTTTGTGCGATTGCCTTTCGAATTCGAAAAGTTTTTTTTATATATTTCGTTATTCTAAAAAGATAATGTATTGCGGTAAAATAAATAATACTTACGTGAGTTTGCGTTGCGGACCATCTTCACGCAGCATCCGTTACATGTCATCAGAGGTGGTTGATCCCTGGGCAGTGCTGTGTAGTTGAAGGGATCCTTACATCTGAGATCCGTCCATGAATCGCATTCGTAGCAGTAAACGGAGCGTGCTGTAAAACAGACGCGTTTTCAACAAATCGTGTATTACCTCTATCGCACTCGGAAAAAAATGTGCACGAAATCGAAGAAAATGATTTATTAATGATGAAGCTAGTTGTTAAAAATCAATGACAAAATTCTTTACACAAATTTCCTGATCCCGCATTTGCACTAAAAAAAGAAAACGAGAATTCCCAGCAATTACACAAAAAACAAACTGCAAATTCGCAAATTGCAATGTGTCTCCATGTTATCATTAAACTTATAATTACTAAACTTTTAATTAAACAGAAGTGTACTTAACGCTAGAAAAGTTATAAGAGAAATTTAAGATAAACAAAACTTAAATTACATCTGCTAGAAATTGTTCAATCTTTGAATTATCTAAAGTGTAATCTAGAAAATTATACTTTGCAAATGCATTGTTTTCCGAGCACACATAAAGGATTTTTTTTTCGCATCAATGGGCACCCGCGCGTGAACTCTAAAACAAAAACAAGTCAGGCACCGTTCGGTTTTCCACGCCACAATAAAGAAGCCCTTCAGCGACTGTGCTCGATGGGACTGGACGAGAAATAATAGAGTGAACTACTCGAAACTTATAATTAAATCGAAAAACATTTTATATACATTTGATGTATTGTGCGATGAGAAATCAACGAGAAAACAACAACATCCGAATTAACGGAAAAAGCTGCACTGATTTCCAAAAGGAACTTCCGTAATAAAGAAGAATTTTCTCCTCGTCCAGTATTACGGAGCGAAAGCAATCTCAACCCGGTTAATTCCCGACAGACATTTCCTGGGGGAGAACGCTTTTCCGCCCCTTCCCCGAGGGGTAGAAAGTATCTCTCTGACGAGTGCGACTTGGACTGCGTCGAGCTTCATCGAGCTGCGATCGAGTCCGACGACACGGCACGGGCACACCGAGGGGAAGTGTGTAAGCTGGCTTAATCACTCACTCTGGCACTCCGCACGACAGACGTTGGCAACCGCGAGTACAATTGCCGCTGAAAATGAAAGACCGGTTACTTGCTACGGGCGATGTGCGTCGCCGCTAAACTAATCTATGTAAAAACTTGTGTGACTCGAGGGTCAAATTCAACAAGCGACAATACTACTAGTTGTCATGTAAACGCTATTTGTAACTACGGTGGCTGTGACTACCACTACTACTGTCCGCTACTGTTCTCTATACAGCGCGGCTATACCGATACTAAAAAAGAAAAAACGATGTCGGGGACCGTTGATTAAATTATGCTAGCTAATGAAGTAACCGAACCTATAAGTTAGCATCCAATAATTGGCATTCATGGATTTTTTCTAGTTAACATTTTTGTCTGTGTTTTACTTTTTACTTGACATTATATAGTAGGTTAATTTGATTTTTTTATGGCATTATTATTTCAGAGTCCTTTAGTTGGCACTCTTGAACAAAAATTGATAGATCTTTAAAGTGCCAATCATTGAGTGTTTTATCCTATGTAATGCTATCGGTCGATTAGTCAAAGAGGGATTCTGCGCCAGGCACGTCCAGATTTGTCGGTTTGCGCGAGCGGTTTCTTTAAAATTCCAATATTTTGAAACAAATACAAAAAAAAAAAGAATGTACATGGCGAGTTTCTCTTTTGCAATTTTAATTTTAATGTAAATTATGAAATGACATATATATATATATACATGTATAATTTATATATGAAGAATATTACAGCAAGAAACGTAAACAGTACAAACCGTATTGTGTATAGAACGTAGATCTGGCGTAATTTTGAGATTGATTAAACTTAACCAGACTCGAAAGAGCCTTGAGACACATGCTATTATATCTGTTTATAGAAAGAACAATTATTCCTTTGTATAAGAAGATAAAAACAAACGTTGCAATCTCTCACGAAATATATACGTAAAGTATCAAGAGACACGGTATAATGCCTCGCGCCAAGTTTGCGCGCGCTCGCGCGCGAATAATTTTCTCTCTGTCAAGTCTGTGAAAAAAAAAAAAAAAAAACAACGTAGATGGCCATTACAGATATGTTTGCGAATTTTTTATTTTCCTGTATTTTTACGCGCAAGTGAAAAAGGGCAAAGGGGATGAACTTTTGCGTGGTGCGGTAAAAGTTTATATTGAATTAATCGATCATGAGTGTGTTTTTTTAAATTCTTTTTATACATAGGTGCATGACGTAGTCACGCGGTGTAGAACACGAACTGCAGATCTAGTTTACTTACCTGATATTGTTACGTTTTATTCTGCGTGAGAGAGGCTTCTACGAGAAGTAATCAAATCGATATTCTTACGTATACTTGCTCGGCGTGTTTTGATCACTTTACGGCGTGTTTAGAAAAGTTTGGTTGTTTTTGTAAAAAAAAAAAAAAAAGAACAAAAAACAAAACTTTCCTAGCACGCATTAATCGTATGATATATTCATTCAATAAAATACGTGTACGGAAAATGTGCATGAAGAAAAAATAGAAAGAGTGAAGAAAATCTGCAAGTTGTTTACGTGATAAAGATAAGTGAATATAAAAATTAGATGGAAGATTTTTTTCTACAAAGTAAAAAAGAATCTTATCATACTACAAATACACAAACAATGATTGCGTTACAATATTTACATGCATAAAAGTTTTCATATGTATATATTTCACACAAAATGATTTGATTTACATATATTGTACATGTTTTGCGATTTTCCTTACAAAGGAAAATATCAAAGAAACCGAAAAACTTGAAGATGCCTGACGCGCTATATTCTGAAAATAAATCTCTCCGTTTTTGATCGAATCTAGAGAATTTGCTCTTTTTTCACAATACACACGTTGTATACAATGTGCGAAGTTTTTTTTTATCAACTTGGAAAAAAGTCGAATGATCTCTCAATGTAAATTTTCAATTACCGAAGACGAGGATACGAACGAATTTTCTCTCTAGATTTCATCAGACGCGGATGTTTCAAGGATCTTACGTACGTACGTGTCCACGCATCTAGACGCACGGAGCCAGCGGCCGTACGCGTGTTGATCGATCTAATATGTAATAACACCTACGATCTAGATTCTTAACAAAGCTCACAAAGTAATTTGTAAACAAGCTGATTACTGATTTAAATAAGATTGGATTTACATTGGATTTACCGAAATATACACAACCGCGATTATTCATACTTGGTTCCTTAAACTCTGCGTTCGGGAGGAAGTTAGTTTAACGCTAAAGAGAAGAAGAGAAGTAAACATCCTAATATATAAATCGATTATATAATATTTTTCTTTCGTCTCAGTGAGTTCAAGCAAAACACATTTTATATCGATTGCTCTAATCACAAAGGCACACAAAAAAAAAACTAAACACACTGAATTCGTTAAACACTCGCGCAAGTGAACAAATTTTCAATCCGACAATGCTATCCTTGTTTTGAGAGATATAGAACCTTCAAGATTAAAATACGATTTAAATAGAAAGCTTATTTTCGCAGGTACACTCACCCACGATCAAATAATTCGTCGACATGCTGACGACGATGAGATCTTCTTACGCGCTTCGTCTTAACCTGGTGTCATTTCTGATGAGATGTCAAATAGCGTTCGATTAGCGTGAGCTGATTCAGTCGATCACACATATATTTCAGGCGATCCCTGAAATCACGAATCAACCTCCAAATTAAATTTAGAGCGACGAATGAAAATGCGATTCCAAATTTCGCGTAGGAAATATGATGATGAATTGTTTTTTTTTTTTTTCGTTGTCGGATGTCTGTTTCTCTTTTATTGCCAGAGAAAGTAATTAAAAACAATAACTAAAGAATATATTTCCGAAACAAATGTAAATAAATGATATTTATTCATTTACAATAAAGTTTAAAAACGATAAAAATACGTGTAATATTAACAAGTATAATAGTTAAATACGGTGTTTTTTTTTTAATTTCTATTTATAAATGTATATAGAGAGCTTTTTTTTATAGACGTTGTTTATGTTGTTGTCTGGATTAATGGGTTGATGCATTTATGTTTGAAAATTGCAATAACGCGACTGTTCAATTTACTTAACAACGCAATGAAACTTCATACTAATAAGTGTTCAAGTTCAGTATCATAGAAGTTCGTAATGGCTTATGACCTATCCTATCAGGTAACAGCTAGACTTAATGTGATATGTGACGTACTATTTACTAGTGAGCAAATTAGATCCATTAAAGATTCATTTGTGAAGGAAACAAGATAATTTTTAGTTAAAAATAAAAGAAGAAATAACTAAATAGAAGAAGATAGAGAAACAATTCTTTTTTATTATTTTTTGTATTTTTATAATCGTGCACAAAATTTTGATCCGATTTTATGTATTTTTATATTCAAACAATTAATAATGATTCAAGGCTCGTTGAAATTAAACCAAGAAATATATAAGGCCTTACGAGCCGTTTCCAGGATGTTGAGCGGAAACTGTACGTGTGCATACATATATATGCATACACGTGTAACAAGTTCAACTTGTAAATTTTTACAAGTGAGTATTTTTTGAATTGAAATCTCAATTCTTACATTCATATGGGATGCTGGATTTGCATCTCACATATGAAAGACCCCGAATACCCTCTTAATTAATTTTTAAAATATTGCAAAAAAAAGGCACGGAAAGCCGGAGATTCCAGGTTCGACTCCTGGCCAAGAAGTTTTTTTCGCAATATTTTAAAAATTAATTAGGGGAGGTATCTGAGGTCTCTCATATGTGAGATGCAAATCCAGCATCCCGTATGAATTTAAGAATTGAGATTTCAATTCAAAAGATACTCACTTGTAAAAATTTACAAGTTGAACTCGTTACACGTGTATGCATATATATATATGCACAGTTTCCGTTCAACATCCTGGAAACGGCTCGTAAGGCCTTATATATTTCTTGGTTTAATTTTATATTGTTGTTTATCGAAAATGTATATTTATACTTACAGACTTTATTAATTAACAGCAGAGGCGGACCGTTAACTTTGGGGCCTTGGGCTAACACTGTTTACCTGTGCCAGTACTTGGAATTATTTTTAATGCAAAAAAAAATTTGTTTTTGCCGTTTATTTTTGACCGCAAAGAGGCCCTATCCATTTAACTGAGCCAGTACTTGAAATTATTTTTATTGCAAAAAGAAAAAACGGTTGGTTTTGCCGTTTATTTTTGACCACAAAGGGGCTCTTTGATTGAACGGGGCCCCGGGCTGCAGCCCATAAAGACCATGCCTAAATCCACCTCTGATTAACAGGCATTAATAACAAGCATTGTTATGTTCTCCTATTTAGTTATTTTTTCTTTTATTTTAATCAAAAATTATCTCGTTTCCATCACAAATGAATTTTTAATTGATCTAATTTGCTCACTAGTAAATAGTACACCACATGTCACATTATTTTTCACAGTAATTGTTAAAAAGATTATCTAACCGTTTTCTCTTGTTTGGAAACTCGACTGTGTGCAAGTTTAAACTTCAGTGAATTCTGATTTATGTGTATATACTATATTTTATTTTATACGCACACAAGGATCTCTTTTTACATGAATAGTAATTCAATTGAAACGTTAAATTTACCGCAGTAATTTCTGATTTCCGCGACATAATTGTTCGGACAGATCAAAACGCAAAATCGCGAAAAATTTATTATTTTGTATACATGAGTGGCAACCACGCGGCAATAAAACTTAATACACACTTATATAGACGTAACCACAAAATCGCACGTACGTTTTCCTTCTTGCACGGATCGGAAGAATTAACTTTTTTGCGATACTAGTGTCCTCTTTTCTGAACGCGATGTTTCAAACGCGAAGCCTGCTTATCTTGCCCGCTGTCACATGCCTTCGTATATCGTCTTGCGATTTCTGGGAGATTCGATTGTCGACCTTACTGCAGAACGCAAACGAATGTTTCTTCTGCGTCTACACCCTACTCGAGTTCGTCGGACACCCCGACGCTCGCAAGTCCGTCGACATTATCGGTAGTGTGTGACCTCCGTGAAATGTGCGTAATGAGGACACCGATGCTGCACAATATCCGTTTCGTAGCGCGATGCGACTACCGCGGACGCGAGACTACGTCGTAAAGGCGGCGCGCGGACGCTTTTAAGGAAACTCGACACGCGCGCAAGCGGCGCGCCGACCGGGCCATGGATTCAGGTCGATCAATATGACGGGGGTCGCTAGTCTGTGCCACGTGCTCACGTTGCGGTACAATACCGACCGTAATCTGCCGCCCGCGCTGCGTCGTTGCTCGACAAAAGCACAAGTAGAGCAGAATATAGTAGTATATTCATTTGATTTCATTTAATACGGAACAGTAGACGGTTTAATCGGATTGGCACGATTAATGCCGGAATAAGCAAAGAAAATGTCGAGATTAGCTCTCATGTACACGTGAAGTATCAGATCAGTCCACTCGGAAATAAAGAGCGCTTGCGTACTTCAACGCTGATTTTCTGCAAAGTTTGAAACCTATAGACAGAACAAAAGCTCGAAATTCTACGAAAGGAAAGACAAAGGAAAGACATAGAAGATATCAGTTAGAAAGTTTGTGAGTCTCGATAAATAAAGTTTTCAAACTTCAGCCGATTGAAAATAATTTTTGATAATCCTGAAATTTTCTTGCGAAATTTAAAAATAACGTTTTAATGATTATGAGTTATATTGATAATCTCAAACAAAGTAAAAATAAAAAACATTTTTTTTAATAACATTAAACCGATCAATAAGAGCCAACGCTGGATGTTCGTGCAAAATAAATAAATAAGTAAAAAAATTATAAAAAAATATATTTCCGATATATACAGGGTGTCTGACAACGAACTATAAAGCCGACGTGTGTAGGTAGATCGGTCATTCTGAACAGAAAAGTTATATACGAGTTTGCAAAATTCGCAATATTTATTGAGATATGAATTAATAAATGTGAACCAATGAAGGCGCGGGGAGCGATGATCNGACTCTATAGGCGTGCACGATTATCAGATGAAAAGAAAAATGGCTTCTCTCATGTAATGTCTTAGTAACAAGAGGCGGAGTGAACAAACAAGGAACGACTCAGGCCCGAATTCATAGTCGTCTCTCAGATCTCAGATCTCAGATCTCAAGAGAGAGAGAAAGAGAGAGAGAAAAAGAGAGGGAAAGAGATGAGATGAGATCTGAGATCTGAGAGACGACTATGAATTCGGGCCTCAGTTTCTTGCGATCGGGCGCTATTCGGCGGTACGCCAGGGATGCTAGTTTCAAGACTTTTGCAGCATGTAACAGCAAGTGGAGGGGATGCGCACACAGGCGAACAACCGTGTCCGTGTGCGCTCGGCGCTTCGGCCAACTTCGAGCAGTAGACGGAGACGGATATATATAACCGCTCTCTGTCTTTCCCTATAGCTAAT